CCCCCGCTCCTTTCCCGCCTCCTGTCCCCGCTCCCGTCCCCGCTCCGTTCCCCGCTCCTTTCCCCGCTCCTTTCCCCGCTCCTTTCCCCGCTCCTTTCCCCGCTGCCGGCCCCTCCCCGGCCCCTCCCCGGCCCCTCCCCGGCCCCTCCCCGGCCGTTCCCCGGTCCCGGGAGGCGCCGCCGTGTCCGGCCCCGCAGGGTCAGAGCCGCGTCTGGAGCGGATCCGTCCCGTTCCGATCCCAGCGCGAACCCGGCTGGAAAAGGCTTTGGGACCGTGGAGCCCCCCCAGGGACCCAAGAGCCCCTCGCCCACCAAACCTGAGAGCCCCGACAGGGACCCCCCACCCCGGGCAGACCCTCCCCGTCACTCCCAGGGAATTTTCCCGATGTCCGAAACCCCCTGGATTTCTGTCTGTTTTGGGGCCACCTGTATTTATCTCCTGGGCTCCGTGTGGCCGCTCTGTGTGACAAGGGACACTTGGGGCTCCATCACGTCACAGCGTTCCACCAGAATGTCCCGGGATTTGGGGTACAAATCTGTTTTATTGGTGATTGGCTTCCCACAGAGCAGGGGAGGCTGCTCCTCCCCTTTTGTCCCTTTTGTCCCCTCCTCGTGTCCCCCCCGTCCCTTGCACGGGTGCAAGCCCCGCCCCCAGAGCCCCAAACCTCGTGTGACCCCGAGTCCTTTGTGTGACCCCAGGAGTCCCTTGGGCGACACGAGACCCCCCCAAATCCCCGGGTGGGTCCCTCTCGTGCATCCTCGTGTCCCGCAGGTCACCAGCGTGAGCCCCATCCTCACTGACGTCCTCGTGTCACCCCGGGGGTGGCGGCCATGGCCCCGTGTCCCCCGGTGTCCCCCGGTGTCCCCCGGTGTCACCCGGTGTCACCCCGGGGGTGGCGGCAGGGACACAGCACTCGGGCCATGGCCCGGGCCAGGCTGGTGCTGAAGGCGGCCGAGATCCAGGGGTTGGTGCAGCTGGTCAGGCTGGCCAGGAGCATCAGGATGGTGAAGGCCGGCCCTGGGGGACACGGGGACATCTGGTGACACCTGCGGGCACCCCCAGGGACACCCCGTGACCCCCCCAGGCTCCGGGAGGGGGACATTCAGTGACAGCCACCCCCAGCCAGAGCCCAGCCGGGCGTGGGCAAACACCAGGGAGGGTGACCTCCCCTGTCCCCGCGTCCCCATCACCTCGTCCCTGTCCCCACCCCCCGCGTCCCCCCCCCGCCCCCCCCTCACCTTCCCGGGGGGCGCGGGGGTCCCACACCGCCCAGAGCTGGGCGCAGAAGAAGGGAGCCCAGCAGAGCACGAACACGCCCAGGACCACCAGGGCCATGCGGTGGCTCTTGGCGCGGGCCCGGCGGAGCCCCCGGCGCCGCTGCCGCAGCTCTCGGGTCACGGCCGCCTGCAGCAGCGCCAGCAGCGCCGCGGGTGCCACCAGCACGGCCACGGCCACCCAGGTCACGTAGGCGCGGGCGCCCCAAGGCTGCGCGAAGGTCGCCCAGCAGTCGCTCTCGCCCGGGGCCACCTCGCGCTGCCCGAAGATGCCGACCTGGGGCAGCCCGAAGAGCAGCGCCAGCGCCCAGGCCGTGGCCAGCGCGTCCCAGCGCCTGCGAGCCTCGGCCAGCGCCGAGCGGGCCCGGGCCAGCCCCGAGCGAGCCCGGCCCGCGGCCACCTGGAACCACCCAGCGCTCGCCCCGGAGCCGCCCGCGCTCGCCCCGGGGCCCCCCGCGCTGGCCCCAGACCCAGCCGGGGTGGGCTGAGACACCCCCGTGGTGGCCCCGCTCCTCTTCATGGTGGTCCCAGACCCCTGTGTGGCGGCCCCAGAGTCCCCCGTGGCGGCCCCCATGGTGGCCTGTGACAAGGACCTTGTGGGCATCTGGGGCGACGAGGGGGGTGGGGACATCAGGGGAACATGGGGGGACACGGGGGTGCCGTTGGGGCTTGGGGACACTGGGGTGACGTGGAGGGTTGGGGACACTGGGGTGCCGCAGGTGTCTGGAGGGCACAGAGGGGATGTGGCAGCGATGCTGTCCCCGCTGTCCCCGCTGTCCCTGTGTCCCTGTCCCCCGGCAGGTTCCCATGTGCCATCCCAGGTGTCCCTGCGTCCCTGTGCCCCATCCCGGCTGCTGTCCCTGCGTCCCCATCCCCAGCACCCCTGGGGTCCCTGTGCTCCATCCCTGGTGTCATCAGTGTCCCTGTGTCCCCATCCCCAGCACCCGGTGTGTCCCCCTGTGCCGCTCCGAGTGTCCCCCCGTCCCCACCCCCAGCACCCAGAGTGTCCCCGTGTCCCATCCCGTGTGTCCCCGTGTCCCCCAGTTTGTGTCTGTGTCCCTCCCTGGGTGTCCCCGTGTCCCCGCACCCCGTTCCCAGCGTTCCCGGCGTTCCCAGTGCTCCCAGTGTTCCCAGTGTCCCCAGAGTCCCGGTGTCCCCGCCCCCACCTCCAGCGCCCCCCGCCCCGCCGCGCCCCCCGTGTCCCCGGTGTCCCCAGGGGGTGACAGATGGCTCGGTGGCGGTCCCAGGCCATGGCCACAGCCACGTAGGCCGAGGCGAACATCGCGACTCCCTGCAGGTACTTGGTGAGGCGGCAGAGCGGGTCGGGACCGCGGAACCGATCCGTGAGGTCCCAAAGCAGCTGCGGCAGCACCTGGGGACAAAGGACGAGAGGGGTTTGGTGCCTTTGGCATTTCCGAGTGTTGTTAACCCAGTTTTTAATTCCTTTTAAGCGCTTTGAGCGGAACCTGTCGGATTTTGGGCCAGCCTAGAGCTCCTGTAAATGGGACATAAATAAATATCGTGTCTTAGCTCTTAGCATGACACTAAAATCGAGATTAAATAGACTAAATAGAAATGTCGAAATGCTTTTATTCGTGTAAGTGGCTCAGATAACCGTGTGAAACAGCTCCGTTGTTTCTCACGTTTGGGGACCGTCCTGTCTGAGTGATCACAGTGACAAGAACCGGGACACCGGCAGAAGAAACCGAGTTACCGAGTCCCCGGCTATCGGGAGGTGTCAAAACAACAGAACGGAGCCTCGAGAAGGAACGAAATGCATCGATTTCGTCTGCGGGCCGGCATTGGGGCAGCTCGGCAGCGAGCAGGGGAGCCCCGGGAGCCCGGGGGTGTCGGGATGTGCCCCCCGGGAGGGAAGGGGTCCCGCTGCCCCTCCAGCCCCGCACCACCCCCGCCAGGTCGGGAAGAGCGAGGTTCGCGGTGCGCACCTGCCCGGCCGCGGCCGCCAGGTCCGCCAGGCTCAGGTGCCGCAGGTAGCGCCGGAGCGGCCGCGCGGGGCGGGCCGGGGGCTGCCCGGGACCCCGCGGGACCCCGCGAGGGGCGCGCAGCGCCAGCAGCACCAGAACATTCCCGGCCAGCGCCAGCGCCAGCAGCAGAGCCAGCACCGCCACCTCCGCCACCGCCAGAGCCGCGTCCCGCGGCGGCACCGGGGTGCCCCGGGGCGGCTCCGGGGACTGGGGGGGCTGCGGGACAGCCTGGGGGGGTCAGAGGGGTCAGTGGGGTTTGAGGGGGTCGCAGAGGGGTCAGTGGGGTCTGGGGGGGTCGCAGAGGGGTCAGTGGGGTCTGGGGGGGTCATAGGAAGGTGAATGG